TTTTACTTTTTTTTTTTTTAAGTTGTCTTACATTTCCCTGTTGTTTAAGTTAGGATGTTTTGGGATGCAAATAAAAGATTGAACTCACAAAGGCTTAAAACATTAGAGAATTTATTATTTTGTATAACATTAAGTCCAGGCATCTACAAAGACAGGGATGTATTGAAAATCCCGATGAAAACAAAAATTAAGGGACTTCTGGCTATAGCCAAGTGAGAAGGTTAACAAATCCCCTCCCCAAAAGCAACTATAAAATTGGATAAAACTGACCAAAATAACTGTTTCAACACTCTAGAAACTGACTAAAAAGCTTATGATGTGAGAGATGTTTATGCTTGAAAACCACTGAATTTTAGCAAAGAAGAGTGGGAACAGAAGCAAAAGTGCAACAAAAAAACTAGCAACCAATACTCTGTCCCAAGTGCCAGGGGCAATAGGGAGAGGTGGAGACCGATGAACTAGGGCACTTTTGCCCAATCTACAGAGGGCAGGAATATTTAGCTCCGACTGAAGTCAATAGTAATCATGGGCCCAGATTCATAGGTCTTCAAGTTTAAGAAAAGTTAGAAATCCATATTTTGACCTAATATCTCAAAATTTTTAAGTGCTGGCAACTTTTTAAAGCAATTTTATGCATACTGTACGGGGTACCAGTTTCCAAGCTCCACCCCTCATGCACCCTAACCTCGGATGACCAAATGCAGTCAGGCCTCTGGCAGACTCAGCATTATCTACCGAACTGTGATTTGCAACGACATCATTTTGGTCAGTCATTACTTTTTCAGCTTTTCTCTTTTCAAAAGGTGATGTTCTTCATTTGTAAACAGAGCTAATGCAACAGCCTTGTGGATTAATTCACCTTTATTCTCTCCTGTCACTTTCAATTCCGTTAACTAAGCCAGAGTGGTCCACAGAGGAGCAATAATGGGCAGGAGGCCCAATGCCAGAGGAGGGGGAACTGGAAAGAGCCAAGAATCTGACACCAATCTGACCCAGCTCGGAACGCTGAGCTCTGCCATTGACCAGCTGTGGGAACTTGGGCAACTTATTAACATATTTGAGCTTCACTGTCATCTACCCTCGGAAGTGACTGCCATGTTTTCATCAAGCAGCAGCTCCAGCAGCTCTGTACCAAGGCCTGGGCTTTGTGGGGACTTTCTCATGGGAGTCCCCACCACAACCCTGCAAGTCAGAGTCTGCTAGTAACCTTACTTTGCACATGAAGAAACAGAAGCTCAGGGACGGGAGTGCCCCAGAGACCTCATGTAACAGCAAGGATTTCAAACCTGTCATCTGACTCTAGAGTCTGATATAAACTGGTAAATTACATAAAGAGCCTTGCCCAGTAGCCAGCGGGGATAAGGGAACAGAACAGTGCTCACTTCCACCAGATTTCACTGTCTTCATTCTTCCTAAAAGGTCATTCCAATGGCTCTGAGAACAACCTCAAGAAGCTATTGACCTGATCTTTCCCAGCTCTTAGCAGTTGAAAATCCATGGGCTCCCCTCTCATGTGAAGCTTTTAATTACACATTCAATAGCAGGAAAGTGGTTTTAATCAGCCAAGGACTATGCTGCACAGTTGAATGGTTAATTAACACTGCCAACATCAATGGCAAAAGCCCTTGGCAGCCACTCAAGGGCTAGTCCGGTTTGTGCTTTCCCCTTCTTCTAATTGTCTAGGAGGCGGCCCAGGACATCTTCTCAGCGGACAACAGAGCCAGAGACTTGTTGATCAGTCTCTTTTGACATGTACATGTAGAAATCATGTTAAGATTCAGGGAGGTGGCAAGAACATGAGTGTTGGAGATGCCTTGTAAACGTGTTAGTTCTTCTCTTGAATTGATGCTTCAGGATTCTTAGAGTATAGTCCCAGCAATGGAACTGCTGGGTCAAAAGGCAGTTCCATTTTTAGTTTTCTGAGGAAATTCCATACTGCTTTCCACAGTGGCTGCACCAGTCTACATTCCCACCAACAGTGCACTAGGGTTCCCTTTTCTCCACAACCTCCCTAGCAGTTGTTGTTTGTTGATTTGGTTATGATGGCCATTCTGACCAGTGTGCAACCCAATGTTTGTAGCAGCACAATTGACAATAGGCAAGTGCTGGAAGCAATCTAAGTGTCTATCAGTAAATGAGTGGATAAAAAAACTGGGGTACATTTACACAATGGAATACTACACATCAGAAAGAAAGAAGGCACTCCTACCCTTTGTGACAGCTTGGATGAATACGGAGAGCATTATGCTAAGTGAAATAAGCCAGGCAGTGAAAGACAAATACCATATGATCTCACCTATAAGAGGAACCTAATCAACAAAACAAACAAGCCAGCAAAATGTAACCAGAGACATCAAAATTAAGAACAAACTGACAATAACCAAAGGGGAGGAGTTACTGGAGGGAAAGAGGGAAAGGGTTGTCAAGGAACATGTACGAAGGGCACATGGACAAAGCCAACCCAGGGTAGGATCAAGCGAAGGAGGTGAGGATGGCTGGGATGGGTGGGAATGGTGGAGGGAAAACGGAGACAACTGTAACTGAACAACGATTTTTTTTAAAAAGGGGGTGGGAGGAAATGTGTTGGTACTTCTCTAAGTACCAGGGCCAAGTAACAAAAAGATAAGAATTCCAGTCCGGATGGGAACAGAAAGAGAATGTTTAGTCATTCTTCATGACTAAAAGGTCAGAGCCCTGAGAGGGATGAGAAGGAGGAAGAGGTTCAAAGGTAGAGGGTGCTGAGGAAAGAGGGCAACTGGTTAAACATTTATACACTGAAGAAGGTCTTTACATGAGATTCTCACTGAATGCCCCTGACAAGCCCCCAGGTAGACAAGACTACCCACCTTTACAAGTGAAAACAACTAAGGCTCCAAATGTTCCCAGGGTCCTATCAGAGTCACCCCCACAGTCTGACCCCAAAGCCAGGGGCGCCTCTGCCAGCAGGTGCCCTCTCCTGGATGGAAGCAGAGCCAGAACCTCGCTGGTTTCATGAAGGTAGCTCCCCACAGACAGCTAAGACAGAAACAAGAAGAAACACAAGGCCCAAGAAAGCCAAGGGGGGCTGTGGGAAAAGCTATGTCCTTGAACAGCTCATAACCAGCCCAGTGCCCGCAGGGGCCCAGGGAAGCATGCTGGATGCGAGACAACAGAGACTGACATCTGAGGTGACCACACAGTTAGCAGTGGTTTCCAGGAAAACTGAGGCCATTGATGCTGGCTCTTCCCTGACCAGCCCCCTGCATCCATGACTTTTAAAGGAGGGACCCAAGAGCAGAGGAGAAAAATCAACAGTGACAGGAATCCCTCTTGCAGCTTTCCCCTGCCCCACCAAGACCACATTCATTTCTGAAAATGAGCAACTGGGGAGATGAACAGGAATCAAAGATTTGTTGAAGGGCAGAGAAGAAGATACACTAAAATGAGGGAGAAAGCAAGAATAGCAAAGGGTTCCATCAGCAGAGAATTTCCACCAACACCTCCACCGAACATGGCGAGGACTGATTTTTAGCTGTGAAAAGAGGCAAACTAGCCAAAAACGACACATTTTACTCAGCAGAGACACTAACACCATTACGATAAGAAGACAGATTTGGGAAGTCAGGGTTCCAACCACAAGCAGCATCTGAAAGAGCATGCTCTTTAAAACGGAGGGGAGGAGGAAAACACGAGGTAGGGCTTTTTTTGGGGGGAGGGTCTTTTTTATGTATACTTGTTTTATTCATAATTTGTCTTATTTTAGGGTACTGAAAGTGATGCTAATGGTTGAATTAAACAAAAAATATTTTAACCTCATCTTAAATCTACAGATCTATTTCATTCGATTTCAATATTCGATGTGAGAAGGAGCATAAAAACAAACAGGTACACAACTGCACAGTTTGCATAAAGGTCTATTTCATTATTGGTGGGTAGCGCACGCAGCAGTTAAATGCATTTAAATAATGTGTAGGTGACTGCACATGGCAGCACTGGTGGCTGGGCAGACACCCAACTCACCTGAAACCGGCTAACAAGTAACTGCCTAAATAATGAACATGCAGCTCTTGGCTGCATCATCAACATAGGATAGCTTTTATATGACGGGTTACTTTCAAAGGTTCAGGTCCAAAGCAAGGCACTCTCAGCAGTGTCCTCATCTGTACAGTGGAGAAAATTAAGGTCCTACAATTCACAGGGCTGTTGGGAGAACGGAACAAGATAATTTATACAGAAGACTAATAAAGTGCCAGGCTTGCACTAAATACTTGTGTTAACAGTTATTATTATTAGCGTTGTCTCTGTCATTCAGAGACACAGGAGCATGGTGCGTGGGAAATGCTTTGACAACCTTAAAATGGATGATAACAGAACTTACAAGCTCAGAGACCTGTGTGATTTCTGTTGCTGTTATTGAAGACAGACTTAATTATGAAATACCATGCTATCCCCATGTATAACATTAAAAGAGATTATTAATTTCCCAGCAAATGCCATACACATTGGTGAAATAAGCACTTCAGCTACAGGCCCACAAGCCCCTCAAAGACTACAACATGTGGCTCCAAGAATTCTGCACAAAGGATGACTTTATTTACATAAAGATGCCAGACGAGCCTAGCTGGTGTAGCTCAGGGGATTGAGCGTGGGCTGCAAACCAAAGGGCTGCTGGTTCAATTCCCAGTCAGGGCACATGCCTGTGTTGTGGGCTAGGTCCCCAGCAGGGGGCTCGTGAGAGGCGACCACACACTGATATTTCCCTCCCTCTCTTTCTCCTTCCTTTCCCCTCTCTCTAAAAATAAATTAAAATAAGATAAATAAAAATATTCTTTAAAAAAAAGATGCCAGATGATACCATTATGGACAAGTCAGACATCCTCACACATGATTTCTGCACCACCACGCCCACCCCCCCCCCCGCCAGTCCCACAGTGACTGCCTTGCTCACCACTAAAATACAAATAAAAATAAAAAGAGAGAGCAAAAGAAAAGACAGTACTGTCTGGACCATCAATCAGTACCTGTTTCGGTTTTGCTGGAGAAGCCCGCTGCCTGTTTGATCGCAGCTGCTGTTAGTGCTAACCCACGACTCCTCTTCAAGCCATGCTGCAGGACGGCCTCAAACTGGGCACACAGACAGGTCACCCTGTGAGAGAACCAATGATTCATCAGTCCGCCCTGTGAAGAAGGGAGACAAACAAGCAGAGTGGCCCCAGCACCTCTGGGGAGCAGGTAAGTTGCCAGGTGTGAGGGAACATACTAGACACCTGGATTTACAGGCAGGTAACTGCCTTGGGGCACTCCACACACGTCTCCCCATGTCCGTTCACTTCACATAACTCAGGGAAGCCCAACTCCATCTAGCCATAATCATTAGACTGGTGAAAGCACAGCAACGATTCAGAAGAAACAAGGGAAAATGGAATTGGTGCCAGGCAGCATGGAAGTGTGGGGGGTGGGTGCAATTTAGAAGCCAATCAGTTTGGTGTAGGGAGGGGCAGGGTGTTAACTGTATTCAATTCACACATTTCAACTCAAATTCATATCACATGTAGTTCAAGAAACAAGATTATTTTTTAAGACATTAAATTCACCAGCCTACCAAATTGGAAACACTATGTAATTTCATGGCTTTTAAGTTGGCTAAAGAAATAATATGAGTTCTGATTCTTGTTCTTTTGTTGCAAGAGATTACATTTGAAGTCAGATCCACAGTTGATGAAATTTTCATTCAAGTTACAATTACTGCGCATTTAATTGAATTCATTTCTCAATAACCAAAGAAATGGGAGATTCAGGAACATGTTTGCAAAGAGATGAGGTCACAGCAACTACACTCTACTTTTAACAATCCTCCCAGCACTCCTGGGTCCCCAGGCCAGTTGCATCTGTGGATTTCAGAGACCCTTCTATTCACTTGTGCAATAAAAGTTAAAAAATCCTGAGCTTCTATGTGTCAGGCACTATTCAAGGCTCTGATGACATGAAGGTGGAAAGTGAGACATACAAGGTCTCTACCTCACCACATTTGCACAGTTCTAATGGGGGGAGATATACAAACAAATAAGCTAACCAAACCATTTTAGTTGAAAAGAACTTTAAAAAAATAAAACAATGAGGTGATAAGTAGAGACAGGGCATGGATCAACTTAAAAGCTGTGACATGAATGGATGTATCCTCAGAGTTAAAACCTGAATATGACAAGAGGCAACAGGCTGGGCAGAGGGGCCCAGTGCAAAAGTCCTGAGGCCACCACGATCCATGTCAACCTTGCCTATGTGCAGGCATTTCCTGCCCCACCTAGCCCCACACCTGTAATAATAACACTCCAAGGATTTATTGTTCTGTGGGTGGTAAAATATTTTCATACCCATGATTCATTAATTAGCTCCTCTCATCAACATTATCATATAGGTAAAGCAAGTATTATTATCTTCATTTTACACTTCAAGAAACTGAGGCTTAAAGACATTTAAGAGACAATACAATGAGTACACAAATAGCAGCAGCATCTGTACTCTGGCCCTATGCATCCCCACACAGGTCCAAGGCAGTTTCTGCTACACCCCATACCACCAAGACAAACAGGCTTTATTCTAAGACAAACATCCTCTCCCTCCTAAACCCAACCTCTCCTCAAGTCATCTGTCTACACTAGAAAAGCCTAACACAGCACCAGCAAATACCAGCATTTAAACATTTTACTCTCAACTCTATGCCCATGACAGACATCACCAACCCATCCCGGCATTCTGGGCTACCACTGCCAATGATCGAAGCTGGCCCTCCACGGGAAGGAAGCCTATTTAGCATCCCACACCTAACACTTGTCCTCAACTACACTATTTGGTTTCCAAGTCCTACCTTATCTTCCTGGCTCCTCTTCACCTGGTACATGGCCCGTGCTACACAAATGCTTTTTCAATGGGTATGGAAGTGGTTGATTAGTCTTGAACCAAAGGTCCCGGAATACTCCCCCACACTGAAACAACCCTTTTTGCCAGGTATATGTCACTCTTAAGCATTATATGTGCATATGAAAGGAACCCCCGCAAAAAGAATGCATTAAAAACTGTGCATTTATTCTTACATGTTCAAACTCCAGTCACCTTCAAAGTACTCTCCATTTGATGGAATACACTTATTGAGACTTTTCCCACTGCTCAAAACAGTTTTTGAACTCATCGATTTTGATGCCTCTTAGTGCTTCTGCCCTTTTTTGTTTCACCTCTTCCACATAGGCAAAACCTTCCCCTTTGAGGACTTTTTTCATCTGGGAAAACACAAAAGAGTCACTCGGGGCAAGATTGGGTGAACAGAGAGGGTGGGGCCCAGTAGTCATGTCATTTTTGGTCAAAAACTGTGGGCAGGTGTGCTCATAAATCACCCATCATGAAATGGACAAATGCACTGAGACTTCAAAAAAAATCCACCGAAGCCAAACACAGCCTCTCACAACTATGCCAGCTGGTACTGATACAGATGGATTCCCAGAACACTCACCTAAGAGGGGAGGCCTGTACTACAAGGGGCCTGCCCCCCCAGAAAATAACTGCAGTTTTATGGGGTCACCCCTCATATGCTAGTCTCTTTACATATCCATGCAGATACATATTTTTGAGAGTTTCTTAAAAGTTGGGACACCAAAACTATCTAAATTCCACAAAATCCAAAACAGGGGCATACCAAAATGTAGCTTGACCAGGGTCCTGTCTTAGGGTAGAAAACCAGGGCTCTGTTCTTTTGTTGTAAGAGATTACATTTGAAGTCAGATCCACAGTTGATGAAATTTTCATTCAAGTTACAATTACTGCGCATTTAATTGAATTCATTTCTCAATAACCAAAGAAATGGGAGATTCAGGAACATGTCTGCAAAGAGATGAGGTCACAGCAACTACACTCTACTTTTAACAATCCTCCCAAACGAAACCCTGGGCTGTGTTTACAGTTCCTCATAATAAGCCATAGCCTGCCTGTACCTTTAAGTGAATCATCTGCAAATGCAATGATTAACTCAGCAATCTTTGTCAGTTTGCTTGGCTCCAATGTGCAAGTAAGTAACTGCCCTGACAACTCCAGATAATACCAGGCCCCTAAGGGGAATGGAATGTTGGTGAACGCACAAACCCAATCCCTAAGGTTTGGGTTACATCAGCAGTGTTCCCTTCCAGATGCACACAGGCCACAATCAACCTAACACAGCAGAAAACCCAGGTGGGCAGTGGTCCTGTAATTAGTTCATTATGATGCCTGCCTTGCCAAAGACCATTCTACTTTACACAGTCCCCACATTCCCTTTTCATCTCCCCACTTAACCTGAGCTACTGGTCATTCAAGACTTAGCTAAATGGTTTCCTCCTCCAGGAAGTGTCCCTGAATCCTTCCTCATTCTGAGCTTCTTTCTACTACAGCTCTTAGCCAATCCCTATGTTACTGGTCTGCTTTCCACAGCTGTCTTCTCTTGGTAAGTTAAGCAAGGATCATGCCTCATTCATCTTAGTTGCCCCAGCACCCAGCACGATGTCTGGCTGCTGTGGCTATCATGACCAAAATGATTTCTCCCCTCAAGGAACTCAGAATATGGACTTGATAATATATTTAGATGAGAGATGCATCTCAGGAGCTCTTGTATAACTTGTAATCCAAATCCAGGTCAATTAAGAATAGTGAATCAAGAACACTCATGTCCAACTTTATGAATCCGCAGCCCTTTAGCTCATGGTAAGCACACTACAGGCACCGATTTATAACCATGTCACCTTAAGGTTTTTAATTTCTTCTCATCTTAATTCAGTGATATGATAATTCCTGCAAAATGAAAAGGGCACTTGCGTTAGTAGAGCTCTCTATTTTCTCATTGCAGGCTCTCCTATTTTCCAGAATGCTCTCTGCTAAATGCTCTCTGGCACTACGTGATGGGTTGGCTGCCTCCATGGCATTTATCACATCCAACTTTTAGTACATGATTAATGTACTGGGGCACGTTTTGTTAATTAAGTGGGGCACTTAATCAACAGTGAATGCTTTAATGTTTTCAAAAGCACCAATCAAGGAAGTTTTTAGGCATACGGCTGTTTACCATAGGAAAGGGTAAACAAAATGTGGTGTATCGCCCTGACCCGCGTGGCTCGGTTGAGTGTCATCCCACCAAGTGAAAGTTTTGAGTCCCAGTCAGGGCACATGCCTGGGTTGTGGGACTAGTCGCAGTTGGGTGTGCGCAAGAGGCAACTGACTGATGTTTCCATACACATCAATGTTTCTTTCACTTCCCCTCCCTTGAAAAATCTAAATAAATAAAGTCTAAAATATATAAGTTTTTTAAATGTGGTGTATCAATACAATGAAATACTATTAGCAAGAAAATAAATGAAGTACTGACACAGGCTACAACATGGATGACCCTGAAAATATTATGCAAAAGGAAAGAAGTCAGACCCAAAAGCCACATGTATGATTCTACCAAATGTTGATAAAAGGGAAATAGATAGAAACTGAAAGTCAATTTGTAGCTGCCTAAGGCTGGGAGTAAAATCAACGGTAAACTGTAAACTGGCACAAAGGAACTCTTTGAGATAATGAAAATGTAGTAAAACTGGATTGTGTGGTCATGGCTACACAATTCCATAAATTTACAATTAAAAAATCACTGCACAGTACACTTAACAAGGTGTAGATTTTTAGGACATGCAAATTAGGCTTCAATAAAGCTGTTTTTTCCGAAAACTTCCCTCCAGGTCTCAGTAAAAGTTTGAGGAAGACATGAAGAAGCTAATAAATGAAAAATGGCATAACTCACTCCTGCTGAATTTAGAAGCACCAGCACCAGCACCAGCACAGCTGTGCACTGCATGAACTTTAACTAGTTGAGTGCAAAATTCTGCGTGCATCAGTTTTCCTGGGTGCACCCAGTTTGCCCTGGATCTCAAGATGGCTTAATCTGCCACATTAGTCTACAATAAGATTACTAAAAATCCTGCCTTTCTTTATGGCAAATGTTAGAACAACAGAGTCAGTAATAAATGCTGCATTTCTATAAACTGCATCAAATTAACCTTGTGACAGAAGGGTAGATTTCAAATTAATCCTTTTACTACATTACAATTTTACTGGAACATTTCGGGAAAAATCAAGTACAAGCATGAA